AACATCATAAAATTAAACTCAAAATGTAACCAAGTGGTAACTACGAGACCATAATCAAGTCTAAGCTCGACTATGAAAACAAGAGGGAAGGCTCAACATGAGCCAACCTAAGGGACCAACAAGGCCGCAAACTACCAAAGCTACTACAAAGAACCAAGTTCACAACAACAGCAAAACAAAACCAAAAGGAACCACCCCAACCAAAATGCACAAGAGAAAAAAGTTTTGAAAAAAGAAAGAAGAGTGCAAATGTCATCAACTAAAGCAGTAAAATCCCAGCTGCAGGGGGTGTGAGAGGACAACAAATTCATCAGCACCTATAAGCCATTGGTTGGATAAAGAAAAATGTCAACAAAAATTGTCTTATAAAAAATAGTGATAAAAAGGTGTCTTTAGAGAGAGATATAAATTCTATCTGTAGTGTTGTAGTCGAACTAAAGTAACCAAGCTTGAACATTTGGAGCTTATACTAGTTATTTTCGAACATTGTTTGTGTTTGTTCGTTTGTTATTCGAGCTTTAAATTCGTGGTCAGACTCATTTGTGAAATTGTTCAACCAAAGTTTTAGCTCGTTCATGTTCCGCTAATTTAGAAAGCAAATTGCTAAAGTTAATTGATTAACTTGAGTTCGGTTTATTCGAACTTGATTAAACTCTTGAAAATAAAAGTGTATTTTTTGCTATTTTATAAATTTTATTGAAAACACTATACATATAAATAAAAAAGAGCTTGCATTTTTGTTTGCAAACAAGCTCGTGTTCATCGACTAACAAACAAGTTTAAGGTTTCATTTGAGTTATTCGAACTCGAACGATATTTGGTTTGCAAACATGTGGTTCATTTATAGTCCCAGTGTCCCACATTCAGTAATCAACTATTTACTAATACATTCGTTATCCGCTAACAACTAATAGTTAAATAGACTATACATATTAAAAATTTAGATACATTCAGCAATCAACTATTTACTAATACATTCGTTATCCGCTAACGACTAATAGTTAAATAGACTATACATATTAAAAATTTAGATACGTATTTTATAATTAAATATGAAAAATTATCTAAGTATGATTACAATATGATTAAAGCATCATTAGTTTGTTTTATTTTTCACTAAATTATTTCATTATTGTGTAAGAATTTAGTATGAAATCTTAGTTTATACATTACTACTACTACTAAGATGCAAATAAAATATTATACGTTATATGTATCTATATTAAATAAATCTAATATAATATTTAATATTATAGGTTATATAATGAGTATATCACATTTTAAAATTTTTGACAATTAGTAAAACTGGACAATATAAATAAAAATTTTATAACCTACATATGAATCACCATATTTATGACATAAACTATATAATTAATATAAATTTTAATTTTGAGAGATTGTGATAAACAAATCTGTTGAAAATTATTATTACTATTACTATTATTATTATTATTATTATATTATTATTATTATTATTATTTTATGTGATTTTAAGGGGTTTTGAACATGTCTTAAAACTAATTAGTCAATTTAAAGAAAAATTGCTCAATGAGATGGAAAAATAATATTAATGCTAAAATAAACATCTTGAAGAAAATAACATTTGCAATAAAATGATTTGTAAGTAAGTAACTTCATTATATTTATAATTAGTTAGTTTTATCTTACAATATAATAATTAAAAATATAATTACACTTGAATTGATTGTTGACTATGATTTAAAGTTACATTTTAGAACTGAATAAAAAAATAAATATATAAAAGTAAAAAAAAAAGTTAAAAAAACCAAATACATTGAATTAAAAATTTTGCCTCCACATATATATAGAGATAAATTTATATTATTTTGCATTAAATTAATCAAATCCTAACAATTTCCTAAATTAACTTAATTGCCATATTCTCCTTTCTTACCCTCCCTAAATTACCTAATAATATATCAAAATTCAATTAATATACCCAAAATTCTCATTCTAATAAAAATAATCAAATAAAAGAGAACGAAACCCTCAAACTACACCCAAGCGGCTGGAACTTCTTTGGCAAATTCCGGCACCGTCCGGCCGCCAATCTCCGATTGGTTTACGGTTATTCGGCTCTAACCCACCTCCGCGCCGCCTGTCCCTGCCGTTTTCTGGTGATCGGGTTTTCTGTTTGCTCAATTTTGTCGTTTGTTTCCCTTTTCAATTCCGGCAACATCCGTTGCCGTACCTTCAATCCGACCCCTCCGAAACATCACCTCATTGTCTTGAATTAAACCCCTCAAACAATTTCACTCGCCGTTACTATTCTCCTTCCCAACCATCTCACTTCCCAAATTGCTTGAGCAGTTAATTTGATCCTAGAACCTAATTTCTGAATGTGTATATTTATTCGTGTCTGATGTTTTACTGTGTTAATACTTCTGGGACATGAAGCTGTGTAAAGACAGAATTTTAATGGATGAAACTCAAAATACTTGCTAGGTGGAGCTTCCTTCCTTTCTTATTTTGTTGAATAAAAAAATGAATTATTGTGTGGGTGAAAGTGTGTGTGAATGTGCCCGAGGTATTGCCTTCATTTCCAGTTAAGGTTTTGAGAATTTGGGGGCAAATTACTGATAATTCGATATATTGTTGCTCTTTCTTAATTTAAAAAATCAGCAGTCTGCACATCAATTCATGGTGGCAGGATTGGTTTTTGTGATGTGTTTTGCTAAATAACTAACATAATTTTCTACCAAAGATTGTGTTTTTATTGTTATTTTCTACTGATTTTCTGTTATTTTTTCATGACATATGTGGGCATTAGAGATGGAAGGAAGGGGATGGGCTCGGGATTAGAGATGAAAGAGACGGAGCTTGAAGAAGGAGAGGCTCTGAGTTCTCAGAATGAACCTCAAGATTCCACCATCGACCCTGATATTGCCCTCTCTTACATTGTAAGGATGTGAAACATTTGTCGACACGTTTTTGTGTCTAAACACTTCTTCAGTTTGACCTTTTTAATCTCAAGGACCATACAAAGTAAATTGCTTTTGATTAGGTGGTTCCATGCTGATCGATTATCTCAATTTTTTTACATTGATTCAGTCTTAATCAACTTTTGAGATGTATTTATGGAATTCTTAACTAAGCCAACATCACTCATACTATATTATTGTCAATGGTTTGGTAATATTATTGGATGGACAGTTGTGGCTTGTGCATTCTATAGGCTTGTGTAATTTGGAACACTTTCTGGTGAATTTATTCGATCCTGGTAGTTAAACTGTGATAGAATCATAGCATTAGCATGGGAATTGTGATTTTTCTCTTTATTGTTAAGTTCTGCTCTCATGTTACTCATTTTGTGTTCACTTGAAGGAGGAGAAGCTCCAAAACGTGTTGGGGCATTTCCAGAAAGATTTTGAAGGTGGTGTTTCGGCTGAGAATTTGGGTAAGTTGAGAAGCATGCGGACAATCCCGTGAAGTGATGACTGAATAAATGTAGTTTGATAATGTGAGGTGTTGATCAGAAACAACTTGAATACTTAACAGGGGCGAAATTTGGTGGCTATGGTTCATTTTTACCCACTTATCAGAGGTCACCAACTTTGTCTCATACCAAGAGTCCATCAGAGGCTCATCATAATTATGACTCATCGAAATCCCCTCAAAAGCCACATGTGGAGGTAAATACTTGTATATCCAAATCTATATACTTTCCTTTATTTGTTCTTCTTGAATAGAAAAAAGAGAAGGTACAATCGAATTACAAAATCTTCGGACATGACATATTTTTTTTCTTCTTCTTTTTACCGTTTGGCTTATCAGATACATAATTCGTTCGTTTCATCAAGTGCTTCTCCGTCAACAAGGCCTCATGTTGCTTCAGGAAAAGCAGCACGACTTGGAAGTAACTTGAAAAGCAATAATGTCAGTTTACAGTCTAGGCATGTTGAAAAATCCAACTCAAGAAGTGCAGACATCAAGAAGACTGTAAATTCCTCTGATCAGAGAACCCTGAAGGTCCGAATAAAGGTTGGCTCTAAAAGTTTGACCACACAAAAAAATGCTGAAATATATAGTGGGCTCGGCCTTGAAGTGTCTCCGTCATCCTCGTTGGATAACAGTCCTACAACTACAGTAGGGCAATCTGGTAAACTTAAGGAGGCGCCAGAGGCATCACCCACCAGTATTCTACAGGTAATCTTGTTATGCTAAATTATCTATGAGAATTTTTGGGGTTCAATATGGAATTATTTGAATTTTTCTGAACAAAATTTAAAAACTCTAATTTTGCTGGTGACTTGGAGCAGATTATGATATCCCCTCCTGGTGGACTACTTTTATCGCCTCTTTCAGAAAATCTGATCTGTCTGACGGGAAAAAACAAGCCTGGAGGGAGGGTTGAAACTAAGAGAGTGAACAAGAATAGTTTAGAAAGTTCCGGGATGTTAGAAAATGGATCTCTTATTAGTAAGTGCAATAAAAAGAAATTAAAGTTGTCTGAAAATGGTGGACTCGTCTCCTTGAAACTGGCAAATCAGAAAAACGGAAATAATGAATCTGCCCAAGCTGTTGGTGGAGTTGAGAATTTGAGCAGAAAGCTGGGTTCATTGACCAGTGATTCTGAATTTAAAAGAGAGACTCTTGTCAGTAGCAGTGCAGCTTGCCCACTAGTTGACCAGTTCGAGTCAACGGTGTATAAAGGAAGACAGTGTGAAGAAGCTGCAAAACCACCTCTTGAGAAGTCATTCACTGCCAGCAAGAGAACACCAAAATTGACTTACACTATAGGCACTCAAGGTGTATCTTCAGCTAAAGATGACATGCGAGATATACAGAAGGATCATGAAAAACCTGGGGACAGATATAGGGACTTTTTCGGGGACATTGAATTTGAAGACGAAGACAAGGAATCGGTCTCAGGTGAAATGAAGTCTCCAGGAATATTAAAGAATCCCATGGTTGTTGAGAAAAGAAGCTCAAGTGATGATCATAACATGTCAAAGGGGAAAAAATTTGACATAAATTTTTCTCACAAACCACCACAAGTCCAGGAAAACTATCCCACATCTGCTTCTCAATCTGCTCCTCCCAATGGAAATGGGATGACTTCTGAAGCTCCAGTTGGAAGTGTTCCTTTTGTGCAGGAAGATTGGGTCTCATGCGATAAGTGTGAAAAGTGGAGACTCCTGCCACTTGGAACAAATGTTTCGAGTCTTCCTGATAAATGGCTTTGTCGGATGCTTACCTGGCTGTAAGTCTTGAACCACCTTCACTATTATTCCTTCTTCGTGATTTATTATTTTTGAGTTGATTACGAAAATGTAATTATTTTTCAGAATTACAAGTAACCCATGCAATTTGTAGAAGAGAAACAAATTTCAAGGGCCTTTTTGTATTTTGAAGTGTAATTGAACTTTTATTGTGACTGGATTACACATCGGGTAATTTTTGTAAAGTATCCTTTATGGTTCACAAACTGGGATTGGGAACTCGAGATCAGTTTGGGGTTGCTTGGGAGTATTTCTGTAGAAGTCCTTTCAGAAAATGGATTTATTTTAAATGAGCTTCTCAAAAAGTGTCCAACTATTACTTCTTTAAAATGAACTTATTAAATGAATTACTTGTTCAAAAGTGCATGTCATCAAACTAATCCGAAATAGACTTTATCTTTTTACTATCAAACTAATCCTTGACTTATAATCCTTAACCTGAAATCTGGATGTGTTTTCAATACAAAACTCACACTTTCTGCAATTCCCATAGGCCTGGTATGAATCGATGCAGCATCCCTCAGGAGGTGACAACTAATGCTCTAAGAGCCCTTTACCATCCTACTGCTTCAATTCCGGGCCTTACTTCAGAGACCCAACACAGTCAGCTTAATAGTAATTCTGCTGTGAATTATGCACAAATGGCCTCAGCTGATGCTAGCTATCCCGGTCTAGAGAACCAAAATCCTGTTTCTCAAATAGCGCCATTTAGTGGGAAGAAAAAACACGGATTGGCAACGGCAGTACTTTCGAATGATGTAGATTGTTCCAATTCTTCAAGCTCCCTCAAGAAGAGCCTCGGGACATCTGCTATAACAAGCAGTATGAACAGCAGAAAGAATTTGCCTTCTCGAAAATCGGGTTTTGCAGTCGAGAAGTACAGTGATCATAAGAAAGAAAAATCATCACTTTCCAACTCCTCTGATAAAGGTATATCGTTATGATGTACCCTGCACATTTTTTTATTTTTATTTTTACTTTTTGTTTTTATTTTTATAACTGGAGCTCAAATGTGCGCATCTTGAGTTGTATCTATCAACTCTATTTTTAAGCTTCTCGAAGATTATTTTCTTGAACTTTCTTTGAATAACATGTGTAGGTACCATTTTTAAAATAAAGACCAAACGAGAGGCAGATGTGACAGGTTCTAGAGCTTTCAAAAGAATGAAAAGTGAGGGATTGCATGATGATGACGACTATTGGACTTCTGACACTGGGGGGACACCTTTAGAAGCAGTTCGTCCAACTACCAGTTTTTCAAATGACACATCAAAGATCGATAAGCGCAAACCTAACAGCCATATGGATCTAAGTGAACCTAAATCGGATGTGTTTCCTGGTACAAATGCAGCAATACATGAAAAATGTGATGATAGGGATTCACTCAGAAAGAGGAAGGCGAAAGACCTAAGTGACCCACGGAAAGAAAAGAAAACTAGAATTTTCAATGCTGGGGTAAAACACAACGGCAATGTGAACGGAACCACTGTAAATCCTTCGGTTGCTGCTAATTCAAGCTCGTCTATGGTCTCCTGCTCTCATAAGAACAAAATCATAGGCCAAGAAGTTAAAGGTTCCCCAGTTGAATCAGTTTCTTCATCTCCTTTAAGATATCCTAGTGCTGTTAAGTTCGTGTCACATAAAGATAAACTTGTAAGGAAAGATGATTTTCATGATACTGGTGGTTATCTAACTGCCGTTGCAATTGGTTCAGGGATGCTTTCTGGTGAAGATGGACGAGAAATGGTGAAGAAGGAAAATTTGTCTGAGCAATGCAAGGTTGAAGAAAAGGCAAATACCACCATCCAATCACAGAAGAATAGGTCTGGGAAGGGACTTTCTTCACATTTGAAAGAAAAGATTGGTGCTTCTGGAGCGTACTTACATGGAGTTCATAATTCTTCACATGATACTTTGGGCCGTGACCATTTGTATGAGGAGGGACTAAAGAGTACAAAAAACAAGACTTGTAAAATCTGGTGATCCAGGTAAGGGTGAGAAGTTCACTGGTCAAAAGGATAATGCTGGAGGAACTCCAATTGTGAGGATTAAAGGACAAAATCATAAGAAATTCGCGCACGATGAAAAATACGTCACCAAAATCCAGGATAAGAAGCATCATATACATCAAGAACACAGTAATGAGAAATTTCCCAAGAGAAGCAACTGGGCAGAAGGCAATGGGAATGGGAAATCACACTCCGTTTTAGCCTCGGCAAAAATTTCGACAGAGATTGTTTCTGGAACTCAGAAAGAAAATAAGGATGATGGACAAAGTGCACCGAACCACAGAAAGAAATATGAGAACCAGAATGGTCAGCCTATTAGGCATCCTACTCCAAATTCTCTTAAAACTAGGGACATTGATGTTCCGAGTCCCGTTCAAAGGGATTTGTCCAATCATGTGGCTAACAGTGCTTTAAAAGAGGCGAAGGGCCTCAAACACTTGGCCGATCGTCTTAAGGTATGTGCACATATTATTTGCAATTACGGTGTATTTTATCCTGTGTTTTATAGTTGTTCATTAAATGGTCTCTCTCTGTCTCTCTCTCTCTAGAATTCTGGATCTACTGAAAGTATAGGATTGTACTTCCAAGCTGCTCTCAAGTTTCTCCATGGAGCCTCTTTGCTGGAAACTGGAAGCAGTGAAGCAACAGAGCAAAATGACTTAATGCATTCAATGCATGTATATAGTAGCACTGCCAAACTTTGCGAGTAAGTGGCTTCTTGAGTGGAGCTAACTTTATATTTTTCTTTTTTACTATTTTGAAGTAATATTTGTTTGTTTAACTAATTTGTACAAATTTGCTAAATTTTATACCATGGTTGGGACGGTAGTATCATAACATTTTCTGGTGTTCGTTATCATCTGAAATCTTTTTAAGTTAATTTTCCAAAATAGTTGTGATTATTAGTCCTTACATGGAAATGTTATTACTGGATAGGCTTTCTGTTTGCTTCAACATTTAATTTTTCTATTTTTCTATTATATAGGTTTTGTGCCCGTGAATATGAAAAGTTGAACGACATGGCTGCTGCTGCTTTGGCCTATAAATGCATGGAGGTTGCTTACTTGCATGTGGTTTATTTGTCACATAACAGTGCAAGCAAGGATCAAAATGAGTTGCAAACAGCTCTGCAAATTGCTCCCCCTGGTAAATTTAAATGCAATAAATAATTGTGTAGGGTTAATTACGTACGCCACACCTAAGGTTTAGTGTAGTTGCATATTTTTTTTTTTATTTTTTTATTTTTTGCTATTGTGCTAAATCTACATATTTTCTCTTAATTATATGACATGCTTTACCACAATATAATGTAGTTGCTATTGTTTCCCGTTTTGTCCTGTAGTAAAGTTGTGATGGAAATATAAAACATAATTTGGTTTTAGCCAAACTTGTGAAATGGCTTGATATTTGATTATTAAATCACTAGAAAACTACTGTTTTACAAAGTTATACGGCATTTGTAATGAATTCGGATCTAACTAGTTATATTAGTTTTTGGGGTTGCTTTCAAAATAATTTTGCTTGGCAAATTCCATTTTTCAACTATTGCTTACTTTGATTGCTCTAATTACTGTTAATGACTACTATTTTAGGTGAATCTCCTTCTTCCTCTGCCTCTGATGTTGACAACTTGAACCACCAAGCAATTACTGACAAGGCTGCTCTGGCTAAAGTTGTTGGTTCTGCTCAAGCTTCTGGAAGCCATACCCTCACTGCACAAAATCGTTCTGGGTTCTTGCGTATTCTAAAATTTGTAAGTATGTCATTAAATATACATCAAAATGGAATGATTAGAAAGGCAAAATTGCATTTTTAGTCTTGTTGCTTTAACGCCATAGCAATTTTAGTCTCAAAGTTCCAACATTTCGCCTTTTGGTCTTCTGATTTAATATTTTGATGCAATTTCAGTCCTGAAATTGCAACAAATTCCTAAATTCCAAGATTCTCGATTAGCAATTTCAGTCCTGTAATTTAAAATTTTGTTGCAATTTTAGTCATGTAATATAAAGTTTTGTTGCAATTTCTGTCATTTGAGAACTGAAATTGCAACAAAATATTAAATCACTGACTAAAATGCGAAAAGTTTGAACCTTGGGATTAAAATTGCTGTGACGTTAAACCAGAGTAGAAATGCATTTTTGCCATTACAGAAACTACCCTTAAGGTGAAGCCTTCATGTTTAGAAGTAATAAACCTAATTATCATTCAAGATTAGAAAATACCCCTTTTCCATTGCATGTACTGCTGATGCCAAATATTCTATAATTACTGTTAAAATACAAAAAAGAGTGTAAAAGAGATGTTTGTAATTGCAAAAAGAGATGGATTTCTTCATTTTCCTTCTCTTTTGACTACTGGATAATTCTCAAATCTCAATGTATTTTTTTGACCCCAATTACGTTTATTCAGTAGAAGTTTGCAGTAACTTGCATCTGTCATGAATAATTTTTTTCACACACTTTAGCGTTGCCTTGTTTGCAGGCACAAGATGTTAACTTTGCAATGGAAGCCTCAAGGAGATCAAGAATTGCATTTGCGGCCGCTACTGCAAAACTCGTTGAAATCTCTGACAAAGAGTGTATCGATTCACTTAAAAGGGCCCTTGATTTTAGCTTCCAAGACGTCGAGGGATTATTATGCCTTGTTCGGTCTGCAATGGAAGTCATCAACCGGTAAAAACTTTAGATCCCTTTTGCGTGACACAACAGATCTGCAGACATAGTCAAATCACACACGTCCCATCAGAATCTTCTCACTCCTTGTAGAGAAAAATCTGTGTACAGTTATAAGGTTGAGTTTGGCTCATGCCCCTTGTTTAATTCTTTGATACAATACAAATCTGCTTTTTGGATAAAAAGCAAGAGGCGGGCTCGACTGTTTTGCAAGTCAGGGTTTTGATGATACTGGTGAGAGACATAATATGGTGCATAATCGAGTTTTGTAGGACTGAAAAAGAGTGAACCTTTTGTGCATTTGACCGGCAGACTATTTGGATCCTAAGCGTGGGCCCGTTCGTTGTCCAAGGGGAAGCAGAAGGTGGGGCCCAGCTCATTGATCCATCTTGACTAGTCCCTTTTTGAGTTGGGCCCACCTGAATTCTGTGGGCCGGTGGAAATGGGTGGGCCTGAAACAAAAAACGGGTCGGGTTTAGTATGGGGTGACCCATTGAGCTAGCTTCCCATTGCCTTCTGAACCTCGACCTTTTTGTTTCTAACTTTTCCATTGGGATTTTCTGATCAAAATAGCTGTGTTTTCTGAGTTGAAGATAAAAGAGTTCAGTTGATCATTGTCTTGTGGGGGGAATTATGAAAGGATTCTAATATTTTTGGCTGCCATGTTGCACATAATTTTTAAGAAATATTNTAATACAGCATTGACATAAAACATTATAAACCATTTATAAACAAGGCATAAAAAAGAAAAAGAAAAATGTAATTTAAAAAAAACAAAAAAACAAAACCACAAATCAACCATTCATAAATAATAAAAATAAAAATTAATATATTTACAACTGAAAATACAAATAAATAAAATTTGGAGATGAACACTGATTATGACGAGGTAGACTAAACGGGCCTACTGGCCCAAAGAAATTATTGATCATAGAGGGCTAAAATAAAATTTAATATTTTCCATTTTTGGACGGTCCAAAGTCTTGATCATAATTACCAGGTAATTGTGGATATTTGAATTAATAGAAAAAGAAAAGAAAAGAAAAGAAAAGAAAAACTCACATTTGTGATTTGTCCCTAGGGACTATCGTCTTTCTTCCAGGGAACACAAATTACACAACGCCTCCAATAAAACCGTTCCCCCAAATTTTGCTCTCACAAACCCTAAATCTCAAATTCTCGCATCCGCCATTAATCCCTGATTATACTCTTCTTCCAATCTTCGTATCCTCTAGCTCAATCAACACCATCGATAGCTATTTCTTCACTTGTTTCAGTTTGACTGTTTTTTATTTTCGTCATTTCTGTTGTTACCCAAAATGCGCTTGTTTTCTCGGTCGCTAAATTGGAATTGATTTGAAGGACCTGGTGTCGGAGGATCGGACGATGGAGCTCTCTGTGCCCATGAAGTCTTATGGCGACTTGTTGGATGCGCAGAAGGATCTGTTCGAGAATCAGATTGAGAAGCTCCAGCAGATAGTCGCCACTCAATGCAAACTCACCGGCGTCAATCCCCTTTCTCAAGAGATGGTTTGTTTTCTCCTTTTTTTTTTTTGGGTTCTCTCTGACGTGAAATTTCATTTACTCTGTGTGCTTTTGGTCATAATCTGATTAGTTTGGTTCGTTTGGGAAAATAATGCAGGCTGCTGGGGCTTTATCCATCAAAATTGGTGAGTCTTCTGTTTGTATATATTAGTTTATTGCCGATATGAGGTTTTTGTATTGTAAATTTACATGTATGTATATGTACTTATTTAGATTTATCCATTGATGCGGGAGTAGTACAAACTGTGTATAATACACAGAAGTATAAGCGGTGACCACTGATGATTGTGTGTTTAACAATATTCATGACTTCTCAAGAATTTCTACATATTCAGCTCTATTTGTTAATGTGGGTCTTGTGCAAATTGTGTAGAATACACGGAACATAAGAGCGGTATCATCACTCGACAATTCACAAAATTATTGCACATAAACAGCATGTCTCCATGTTCTAATGCCTGTGCTTATACACCATTTCGACTAGTAATGGGTTCAGATGATGAATTGTGGTTTTTTGTTTACTTGTCATTATATTGTAAGTGTATAGGTCTTATTTTAATAGCTTTTTCTCCATGCAGGCAAGAGACCTCGAGATTTGCTGAATCCCAAGGCTGTGAAGTACATGCAATCTTTATTCTCCACCAAAGATGCAATTAGCAAGAGGGAAACACGTGAGATTAGTGCTCAATTTGGAGTTACAGTTACCCAGGTTCTCATCTTCATCAGTTAATATTCCGCCCATCTTTTTTTTTTTCAATGATTTGATTTTTTTTCCTCAATGGAACTCTGTTTAATAAAATGTGAAGTACATGCAATCTTTATGTTTTCTTGTTCTGCTTATTCGGTGTGTGATGTTAGCCTATCATGAGAACTGAGACTTAATATGATTAACTAACAATTGGTTTTATTTTCTTAAGGTTCGTGACTTTTTTAATGGTCAGCGATCAAGAGTGAGGAAGTTTGCCAAATTGTCTAAAGAGAAAGTTAATAGATCTTCTGCCAGTGATGGAATGCATGGTGATATTGTCTCAACTTCAGATCCCAATATGTCAGTGGAACCCGTCCCATTGAATACTATGGTCCCTGCAATTGTCAATGAAGTGCCCTCATGCTCAAAGAGCCATGAGGCTTTATGTGACATGGAGGAGTCAGATAGACAATTTATTGAAAATATTTTTAATTCAATGAGGAAAGAAGAATCATTTTCTGGACAGTTGAAATTGCTGAAGTGGATTCTTCGCGTGGAAAATCCTTCAGTGCTGAATTGGTACATTTACTTCGTCAGAATGTTACTATTACAGCTCAGGACTACTTTCCTTTCTCTTGAGATCTAATCTCTTGCATGCTTGCAGGTTTTTGGCTGAAGGTGGACTGATGATATTAGCGACATGGTTAAGTGAAGCTGCTAATGAAGAACAAACAAGCTTTCTCCGTGTGGTTCTTAGGGTAACTCATGATAAGAATTGATATTTCATGTGCTTTAATTCAATCAATGGACAAAAGTTTCTAATGCTAACTTCCTATTTTCAGGTGTTTCATTGCTTGCCAATGATCAAGGCTCTCCCTGTGCACATGTCTGCTGTATTGCAAAGTGTTAATAGCCTTAGGTGTTACCGGGCATCAGGTGTGTTTAGTTACTACGAAATCCTAAAGTGCCATCTCCTTTATTTTCTACGAGTCTTTTATATATGTTGGGACAGTGTAGTAAATGATCCTTAATGTGCTGATAGTAATATCTTCTATAGATTAAGAGGTTAAATGATATGATTAATAAACTATTATCTTTACGTTTGCCACTTTTACAGCAGTCCCAGGTTATGAGATGCAGTTTTTTTGTTTATTAATGCAACCAAAAGGAAACTAGGATTTTCAGACTAGAATTTACTTTCGATTTGTATTTATCCATTGCTGCTAGTTCGCTCATTTTTCTGATTTGAAGATCAGACATCTCACACAGGGCAAGAATTTTATTGTCCAAGTGGAGCAACATGTTTGGGAAGAAGCTATCTTTAAAGAGAAACAATGGAGTGAAATCACCCAACGATTTGGAGGATGAGATGCTGTTGAAGCAAAGGCAAGACAACTATTGACTGCTTACGTTTGGAATATACTCCTTTCATTTTGTATAAACTTCTGTGTCTTTCTATCTGCAGCATTCACGAAGTTATGGGAGATGAATCGTGGGACTTAAAAGATAGGAACGCTGTATGTGTTTGTTTAGTTATAAAGAAATATTTGTTCAAAGCATGCCTTGAATATTAATATCATTCTTAAAATTTCAGGATAACACTCTAAGATTCTTGGGTGACAATCCTGATAACCATCGGTATGGTGCTTTCATCACTCTGTTTGCCTCAATTTGTCTTCATATTCTATTATAATTAATTGCATTTTAAGTTGGGACTTCTTTCACAGGAAGTCGGATGCTGCTCCGCCTCTGAAATTGCTAATGGCCCCGGAGGATGAATCTAATAAACGGCGAGGTGTTCTATCATCTAGTATCCTTCATTTAATTTATGAATGCTCGGAGAACATTACATGGATTTCTATTTGGATTGAAGTGGGCGCTTCTAGATGAGACATGCCAACCTTTTCTTAAATTATGATCCCTAAAACCTGGTCCTTTTTCTTGGTCTTTGACGTTTGTATGTGGATATCTTAGTATATATACATATTTTAACTGATTTCTAAACTGTCAAAGATCTGTTTCCTTTATGCTCTTTCTTTTGTCATGCGTTCCTTTTAAGTCTGTTAATCCGAAGACTGTTCTATTCTAAAGTAGTGGAGGCAACTAGGATGGATTTTTCATTATTACTATTATGAGAATCAACGGTGTTTCTAAAGGTTCAATGTCCTGCAGTTGTTCGATTTGGAATTTCGGGTGTTAGTGTCCGTAGGGTCCATTTCATGGTCCAAGGTTATTTGGGTCAGGCAGGATTTCCTGTGTTGACCTAAATATTATTTCGCACTCGTGCCTATCCTGTTGTGTTGAATGTTAACTTATTTGGTTTTAACACTTTCACCAACACATAATTCAATCCGCAATCCTGACTTCTGTGCGAAGCAATTTGACTAATATAAATAAAGACAAATCAGCATGCTGAAAGCTGGAAAATAGACCACTCTGACTCAAACCCCACTACTCTAGAGTTACTTCATCGGACTAAGAGTATTTAGGTTAGATGAGTAGGCTATGTAAAACAACTGCGGATCGAACTATATTTCTAATTACATTTCTAAGTTTTGACATTTTTTGCAAAGCATTCACTTTTGCCACATCAACAACATTTCAAGCGCATAATATTCACGAATTACACCTGAGCTGCATGTTACTTCTAGTTGTTTCTCTTGACAAGATTGCAAGCGATCAATAGCATGATTGCGGAACATGTATGGCCTGAACAGAATGAAACTGAAAAAAGTAAACTTTATATTCTTAGTGTTTACTCAAGACTGATGCCATATTGAACTTGACTCAATCAAGGTTACACGTTGATCTCATAAGATATGGTTGGTACCTATTCACTCTGTTTATCAGTTTTTAGTGAATCTGTTAGGCCAAATTATTCCAACAAAATAAGTTGCCGTTACTTTTAACAATCTATGGTTGTATTGCACTTTAATCGGACTGCTGAAGTGCTGATATACTTATAAATCTTTTCCCAGGTTTCAGAATTAATTTTTTTGTGTTGGTGTGTGCGAATGCGAGTGCGAGTCATTTTGTCAGCCTGATTTCACATGATGGATAATTACTAGGCAACTCATATATATTGTTCAATGTGTGTTCATTTAATGTGCCGCTGGCTGGGATTAGAATAGTGTAGATTTTTAATTTTCTGATTTGTTTCCCAATTAGTCCAGCCAAAAGCCAGAATTATGTTCCCGCATACGCATCAGATGATACATAACAAGCTGAACTCACTTTTTTTCAAGTTGACTAGGAATCCTGTACAAGATCGGCTCTTAATAATGCTGCATTCTTGAATTGCTTGTTCGGTGTTCGGTTCATTTGTCTTGGATTTATTTCTTGAGATCTAATGATAAATTAGAACAGATAATCCTTCCCCATGCATTTTTTCTTGATTTTCTCTTCACCTCTCTTGTTCTTGATTACTTTATGCCTTAACTAGTTAAAGATATGAAAGAACGCCGTAAAGTTCAGATGGTGGAGCATCCGGGTCAAAGGTCTACTGCAAGGGGTCCCCAGGTCACGAGATCAACTTCCACGACTCAAAGCCGCCCGCTTTCTGCTGATGACATACAGAAAGCAAAGATGCGTGCTCAATATATGCAGAGTAAACAGGGGAAAACCGTGACTCGTCCTGATGAAAAAGCAGGGCCTGAGAGTCAAAACAGATGTACCTCTTCAAATGCCAGTTTGTTGCCACCGCCTGTTCCAAAGCTGGTTGCTCGGGTTGAACTTAAGGAGGATAGGAGAGTTGATAATGACATTCCCAAACCTGCTAAACCGTTAGAAATTTCTCCAGATATGAAGCCTCAGTGGAAAAAGTTCAAAAGAGTTCAGATCCCATGGCGGACACCTTCAGGTATCTTTTGCTTTGGATGTTGTTTTGATTTAGGGCGTGTTTGGATACAAATATATCCTGCTCAAAATGAGTTTTTTTTGTTAACCATGGTTAATTTTGAAAAATTTGGTCTGGTTGGATTTTGAGTTTATATTAAAATAATATAATTAAAGTTAATATGATGTAAAAGTATGAGAGATGATGTGAAGTGATGGTTAGTTAAAATTATGTGAGTGCATGAATAGTGAATTAAAGTTGAGGTGGTATGTAAGAATAATTGGTTGATATTATTTAATTATATTGATAATATTGAGGATAGTGGGCTTGAGTTAAAGTTGAGTTAGATTTTGAGTATGAATTGAGTATGAGTTGAAATAATTGATAAATAAACACACCCTTAGTGTGTCTTATCATTTTTGTTGCAATTTATATGAAATAAGAGGTGATTTTGTGTTAACCAATTTCTTTCCAAGTTTAGTATCAGTAGACGCTCAACGAAGTTGAAATTTTAGAATTTAACGTAGAAATAACAGGCACTTTCCTCATTTTTCATAATAAATACAGCTGATTAACAACTTCTTTTCTAGCTACTGATTGAGACTCTTCTAAGTATGACGTGAAAAATTTCCTTATTTGGTGCAGAATGGACCGAGGCCCGATTTCTCGAGAAACCCATTTTCCCGGCAGCACACTTCGGCAAGCGGCGGCATTTATCAGGCCACGGGTTTCGCTCAGCCCGTTTCGCTTAGTCAGCATTCGGCCCATTTGACAGGCCCGCCCGCCACATATCCCCAAACTTCTGTTCAGTTGCCCTTAACCTCACAAACGTACCACCAACAAAGTAGATTTAACACTCTGCAACATCCACAACATTTGACCACAGAAATGTTGCCAAATCCAGGCCCGATTAACCCGAATCTTAATCGGGCCAGTTCAAATGGGTATTACGTACCTGAACACTCGGTTTCCAATTTGTCGAGGGCTCGGCAGAGTTTTGACCCGAATTATCACTATCAACACACTAGAAATGAAAACGGATACAATGCTTACTCAGCGGTGCTGCCGCCAGGTGGCAGAAACAATCCAGCTGGCGGGTCCGGGCCCGAGTATTGGAGCCCCGGTGAAAGCCCGTCTAGAGATCGTGAGTACTTACCGGGCCAATATTATCGGGCCAATAGAGATGAGAGGGCTATGGGCGGAGCTGGAAATAAACGGTGGCGTGATTACAGACAATAGCAGGAAATGTGATTGATTGCTTTTAAATTTGTTTGGGAATGAATGAAAAACGGGCCGTGCATGGACACATTTTGAACCATTTGACAAAAGACTGAAGCTTTTTTTTTGGAGTATAAGTGAGATAATTTTTTCAACGAAAAGGCAATGAAGCGTGTTTTTTTGTTTTTTTTGTTTTTTTGGGTAAATTAAGTTGCAATTTTAATAAAAAATGTAAAGTGGGTTGGTTTCTTTGTGTTCAAGCATTAGGAGAATATTTGTAGAATTAACTAACAGAAGGCCCGTCATGTTTGTTCACGTTGCAAATGAGTTATAAATGAAGAGTTAGTCAATCTGTTCAATTATCTGATTTGGAAAATGCAGTCGTTCCGATCCTATCGGAGGATATCCACCTCAGCGCGGCAGAATGTGGCCGGAGTTTACTCGGTAAAATAATAGGGCAAAAGAAAGCGAACCTGGCGGGTATCAGAAGAGCAATCAACCAAATGTGGCAAATTAGATCATCTGTAATTGTGAAGGAGTTAAGCCACAATTTTTTCCAGTTTGTGTTCTCGGAAAAGGAAGATAAGGTGAAAGTAAGCAAAGGTTTCAACTGGACGTTCGAAAACCAGTTCCTTACGCTCAAGGAATGGTTTGAAGGTATCAACGCTAAACACCCTTGCTTTCAAGAAGTCGAAATCTGGGTACAGGCATGGAATCTTCCTCTCCACTGCTTGTCGGCAGACGTGGGACTAAAGCTAGGGAGTGTGTTCAAAAGAGTTGTGGATGTGAATGTTCCTAATGGAGGGGTGTTAGCTGGAAAGTGTGTTAGAATTTTAGTGGCTCTGGACATCAACTCCCCGATTCTCAGGTGCACTAATATACAGTTGGGGGACCTAAAAACTAAAGTTCATTTCAAATATGAAAGGTTGGCTAGCTTATGCTATTATTGTGGATACATTGGGCATGTAGAAAGGACCTGCGAGAAAAGAGGAGTAGATATAGCGGACGGGAAGTTAAAGGAAGGACTTTTTGGCGAATGGCTCAAAGCAGAGGATCTCTATTATCCATCATCTCCTCCACCCTCTTATTCCAATAATTACAACAACCTCCCTCAATCCCCTAACCCTAGTAAACACAGCAACGCTACCCCACCAAGTAAGAGGGTCACACCCATAATCCCTGTTGATCCTCCCCTTCACCAAAATCAAATCCCTGCAACTTCTATAAATCCCATAAATCAAACTCCTGAAAACCAACCAACACCGCAACATCATATACCCATAACATCACAACATACCCATAATATAAAGCCTTCTCCCAAGCAGACACCAACTTTCTCAGACCCTACACCATCTAAACTTGATACACAGCAGCCACAAGAGCCAGTTCAACATCAACACTCTCCCATTGATATGATGGTTTCTTCTCCTGTTCAAATTACGGACGATATCACAGCCAAGAAGTCAAAAGGATGGAAAAGGAAAATGCCACAGGATATTGCCTCAAGATCCACACCTCTTCTCAGATTTTCAGGAGAGAAAAGACAGACACCAGAGCACTGTAGCAGCACAATGGAAGAAATTATGGGACTAACGGTAGAAGGAAGAGACAGGAAGAAACTGAAATCGGATTTTGAGGAGGTGGAGGAGGCCAGCCCCAAATGGCCCCACAACCCTCAATGAAGGCTGTAGTGTGGAACTGCCGAGGTGTGGGTGGCCCCTCGACAGTTCCCCAAATAAAGGAAGTCTGGAGACTCCACCACCCTACTTTTCTGTTCTTATCTGAAACAAAAAAGAAAAATAATTTTCTTAATACAGTTAGTCGGAATTTAGGTGTCAAAGAGAATTGGGCAACTGTGGAGCCTGTGGGCACACGTGGAGGGTTATTTCTCTGCTGGGACACCAATGTACATATTTTTGGGATTATTAAGAAGTCTTTCTGTTTTGAGGTGGAATTTTGGGATGAAGTTAAAGAAGTAGTCTGTTGGGGGATCTTTGTTTATGCAAGCACAGATGCTCATGAGAGACAAGAGCAGTGGGATTATTTGAACTCAGCCAAAGGCAAGTGGGGCAGACATTGGTTCATGGCCGGTGATTTTAATGACATAACACAACCATCAGACAAGAGAGGGGGCAGATTAAGAACCATTCAGTCCTGCAGGCCTTTCAACAATTTCATTCAGGCTATGGAGATGATGGAAGTGGGGTGGCTAGGGTATCACTATACCTGGGGCAATAACAGATTCTCTGAAGGATTCATAGAAGAGAAGCTCGATAGATGGTTCGGCTCCTTTGATTGGCATGCTAAATACCCTACAGCCCAAGTTCAAAACATATTTAAAAGTGCATCGGATCATAGTTTAATGTTGCTCACCTGCATACCAGAAAGTAACCACAAAAAGAGGAGATTCCAGTTTGACAAAAGATGGCTCCAAAGGCAAGGTATTCAAGAAGTGGTATCAAAGGCCTGGCAAAAGCAACAGCAAGGTACTCCAATGTTCTCACTGAAATCCAAGATTGCACACACAAGAGTGGAACTTCTGAAATGGACATCCACATTCTCTTCTGAAAATGCCAATAAGATTGAAGGGTTAGCAAGGCAGCTAGAGCAACTGAGAGAGCAAGGTGGGCTAAGAGATTGGAAGGCATGGGATAATCTGACAAAAGAACTGAATGAGGCCTATAAGCTGGAGGAGCAATTCTGGGAACAAAAATCAAGGATTACATGGCTCAAACATGGAGACAGGAATACCAAGTTCTTCCATGCCACAACTATGCAAAGGAGAAGGAAAAACAGAATCCTGAGATTGATTGGAGAACATGGAGTCATTTGTGACAGTAAAGATGAGATTGCAAATTGCATTGAGGAATTCTTCTCCCTCCTATTTACATCATCTGGTAGAATCACTGGGGATAGATTGCTACAAGACATTGCAGTGGTCATCACTGAGGCGAGGAACTCCGAATTGATTGCACAAGTGAGTACAGAGGAGATCAAAGAGGCCCTATTCAGCATTAATCCGGCCAAGGCCCCTGGGCCAGATGGTATGAATGCCCTATTCTTTCAATCTTTTTGGTCCACTGTGCAGAATGACTTGTGTGAGTCTGTGCTCAGCTTTTTTGCCTCTGGTCAAATTTTAAAGAGTCTTAACCATTCATTGATAACCTTGATTCCCAAATGTGCCAATCCATCCAAAGTGGGTCAATTCAGGCCAATTAGCCTATGCAATGTTGTGTATAAGGTGATATCCAAAATCCTTGCAAACAGGCTTAAACCGTGTCTTTCAATTTGTATAAGTGAGAACCAATCTGCCTTTGTGAAGGATAGGCAAATTTTAGACAATGTCATCATAGCTAATGAGATTATTCACTTCCTCAAAAACCACAGAACTGGTAAAAAATGCTATATGGCCATAAAGCTTGACATGTGTAAAGCATTTGACAGGGTAGAATGGGATAGTGTGAGACTCATTATGCTGAAATTGGGATTTAACTCTCTGTTTGTGAAATGGATTATGCAGTGCATCAGTTCTACCTCTTTTTCTTTTAATGTTAATGGTGAAGCTGCAGGTTACTTGAAGCCATCAAGAGGAATAAGGCAGGGTGACCCACTGTCACCCTATTTATTTATCTTGATATCTGAAATATTTTCTCACCTAATCAAAACTGAGGTTGACAGAGGGAACCTGCATGGGATTAAAATGAATAAACACTGCCCCACCTTAACCCACCTTTTCTTTGCTGATGACACTTTGATATTTGCCCAAGCAGATGTCCAGCAAGCCAACAACATGCTGCTTATTTTAAACTCTTACCAATCCCTGACAGGACAAGCAGTGAACCTGCAAAAATCATCCATCTTCTTCAGTAAAAATACCCCAACCTCCCTTCAAGATCAAATCTGCCATATCCTAATGGGCATTACCCCTCAAACAGCATCCAAATACCTTGGATTACCTCTGGGCATAGGCATCTCAAAGAATAATACATTCTCTTTTGTGGAAGAAGCTGTTTGTAAAAGAATATCAAATTGGAAAAACAATCAACTTTCTCTTGCAGGTAAAGAGGTGCTACTGAAATCTGTCATTGGAGCTCTACCAACATATACAATGTCTTGCTTTTTATTGCCACAGTCTGTAACTAAGAAGTTGGCCTCACACATGGCAAATTTCTGGTGGCACACGGGGAAGGAAAGCTCCAAAGGAATCCATTGGAAGTCTTGGAAACTAACTGCTCTGCCAACTCAGATGGGAGGGGTGGGGTTTCATGATTTACATATGTTCAACAAGGCCTTAATTCTGAAACAACTTTGGAGGTTACAAGCTCAGCCCGAGCTTCTTGTTAGCAAGATATTGAAAGGCAGATACTTCCCTTCTGAGTATCTGTTTAAAGCTCCAAAGAAAAAGAACTCCTCATGGCTATGGACAAGTTGGTGGAAGGTAAAAGATGAGTTCTTCAAAGGACTGTCTTGGAAGATAGGGGATGGCCATCTGATAAGACTGTGGGAACAACCCTGGGTTCCAAATTTGGAAGGGAAAATTCTTATAGGCAAACAACCAAGACAACCAGCCTTAACTTGGGTGAAAGACCTTATTGATGATTCAGGCAGAAGATGGAGACAAGATTTGGTAGAGCAGGTTTTTCTCCCAAATGAAGCTGCTGCAATCTTAGCCATCAAAGATATGGACCCTAATAAACCAGACAGGCCAGTGTGGACTTGGAATGCAAAAGGGACTTTCACAGTAGCATCTACATACAAGAAGCTGATTGAAGAAGAATGGAAGAGAATGGATATTGCAGGATCTAGCCAGAACCACAAAGAAATGAAAGCAGCAAGGAAAAGGACATGGGGATTGAAAATCAAGAGGAAACTAAGGCATTTTCTATGGAGAGGTCTTCACAACATTCTACCAGTCCTGGTTAATCTGAATCATAGAGGAATTGAAGTGGACCAAAAATGTAAATTCTGTGGGGAAGATGAAGAAAACCAGGAGCACATATTTTTTCATTGTAGCAGAGCAAAGATGATTTGGAAGCTGGCTCCCATTTCATGGGATGGAATTCACTCTCATACCAACTCATTCAAGCACTGGTGGATTAAACTCTGTGGCATTCAAAAAAGCTCAATCAACGAAGACAGAGTGCAACTCACCTGCTACATACTTTGGTGGATGTGGAAGACGAGAAACCTATGGGTTTTTCAACAGGTTCACAGATCAGAGTGGGACACCATCAAACTAGCTGTTGCAGATTGGCTAGAATATGCTTGCTATGGGGGTTAGTTTTAGATTAGGCTTCAGCTTTTGTCCTTCTAGGTTCTGTAAATGGTAGTTAGTTGTTTGGTGTTTTAGCTTTTATGTTTTTTAGGTTTTGATAGCTTGCTAGGTCCTGTTGGGGGTACAGTGGCTAGCTATTTTTGGTGAGCTGATTTAACTCTTGTTAGTTAAGTTAGCGGGAGATAGGGGAAAGCTCATGGAATCTTAGCAGTGGCCTCTGCCATGAGAAATTCACTATCTTTTATTAGTTAAGAAGCCGCGGCTTCTTCGATTTGTTCAGGATTTTTTCAGGTGGTCTGTTTGTTTGGGCTTCGGCTATCAGACTTTGTTATTTGCTTAATTGGGTGAGATATAAATTCTA